CTTGCAGTCGGTTAATCATTTCCGATAATTCGTGAATGCTTCCCGGCGTGGAGGTTTTCATTTCGGCTATTTCTGTATATTCTGGCCTGGTTGCCTCCATAACCTTGTCCGCCACCGTTGCCAAGCTCTCCAAGTCCTTGACCTCGGTGACAGCAAGAACAGCCTGAACTGCCGACGGCAAGTGTCTGGTCCACATTATTTGTAGCGTGGAGTCTGGTAGTTTGTTTCTAGCCAAGTCTCTCATCCGACGGAGAAGTTGCGATGGCTTTTGGGTGCCCAGTTCCATTTCCCCCAAAAGCTTTTGAAATTGCCGCGTCTCAGACTCTTCAAACACTTGTAACAGACGGTCCTTCAATGTCTGATATCGTCTTTCTTGTGGTGGTGACAGCAGCAGGTCGCTGACTTGTTGTATGGCAGATTTGCTGAGTTTGGTAACGACTAAGTTTTGTTTTGTTACATCTCCTAGTCGTTGCGATTCTACTACGGCCTCAAATTGGACAAACCAGAGTCGCGGTTGGTCTGACCAAAAATCAGGTATCCTTGACGAAACACTTATACTCGCCAAAGTCTCCGTCTCCGTCGACGCCTGTGCGGGCGGTGCCGCTAAAGAAGGCGCCGGCGTATTAGGCGCGGCGTAAATAGGTGCGGGTCCGTCTTGAGGATTCATATCCACAATGCACTGTCCAAAACGTAAAAAAAAAATGTTCAACAGGCGTCACCAATGTACGTATTTATACACTGTATACCTAATGATCACGTCGGGCGTATTCATACACTGTATACGTAATGATCACGTCGGGCGTATTCATACACTGTATAGGTAATGATCACGTCGGGGTCACCAATGTACGTTAATTTTATATACCCGATGTACGTAATTATATTAATATACGTTATGTTCAGGTATATTATTGTTGTTGTCCACTTATAAGTAATGTCCACTTTATAAGTTAATTCCACAAAACGTACGTCAGAAGGTTGGAACAGTAAAACATGTGATTTCTTTAAAGGTGTATTTGCGACTAAAATAAAACTGGCGGGCTCAGCCGCCGACACATACAAGGAACAGTATAACTATTGTTTCCTATTGTTAATTGTATTGGGCAATGATGTGGGAACGCAGGACGCTACTCAATACGTCAATACTCTCTGTTCATTCATGAAGTTAATTTATTACTCTGATTAATGTGTACCTACAGAGATCAAGCAGGCCATCGAGAAACATGGTTTGACTCTGGAAGCTTTAAACGAAATGAAATACTTGGACAAGTGTATTTCTGAAACTGTCAGATTATATCCACCAGTTCCTATCGTAGATCGTGTAGCTCTACAAGATTACGAGGTAAGTTACCACAATCTATTGTAAGTTTCTGATTTAGATTTTTTATTGGTCCTATCAAAAATGAAATTTCGATGGACTAACGTAAACACAAGCCATTTGATCAAGTACAAACAATCTATCTATATCAATAATGGACTTATTAATTTTAGATTCCCGAAACGGGTTTCGTAATCAAGAAAGGAACCCCAGTCTTCGTGTCTCTGTTCGGCTTGCAAAGGGATCCAAAACTCTTCGAGGACCCGGAGACGTTTAGGCCGGAAAGGTTCGACAGCGACAAAACCATAACTGACGGTTACATGCCCTTTGGAGAGGGTCCTAGGAAATGTATTGGTAAGTCCTTTGGTTAAAAAATAGACAATATTAGTATTATCTGAAAGAGGTCTCCTCTTAACGTAACCATCTAAATTCGTCATTTCAACTACTTTCAAATTTACTTATGTGGTTTGAGGTTTCCATTAGAAAGCGGATACTTAAATATAATTATAATCTAACTGCATTTTCTTACTACGTTCATGAAAGATGTTACTGATCGTCAAGAGTTAGGTTATGCACAAAGCATTTTCTCCGCATAAAAAAAGATTAACAATTTGACCTTCTTTACATAAAGATATTTTATGTAGTAACAATACTAAACGACCATGTTTTTTTGCAGCTGTGCAAGTAAGCCAGCTGCACGTCAAGCTGGTGCTTTCCATGATCCTGTCCAAATACCAAGTGCGTCAAGTCGAGTCAGCGAACTACAAACTGGACCACCGGTCATCTTTCACTGCTGCAGCGACCGGGATTAATCTCGAATACATAAAATTAACATAAGTAATTTGTACTGACCCGTGGCTATGTAAATTATTTTTTGATCGTTTATTTTATTTTAATAAAGCTTGTTCTGTTATATTGTCTCATTATTTTATCTTAAAGAAAAGCTAAGCCAATATAGCAAAAAAATATTCATACGTTGGTTTTTACCTTAGTAAGTATAAGTAAATAGGTACAGTCAAGTCAATGTTCCATGTTCCAAAATATTGTTTTAACGATCATATATCTATTTCAATACAAACTCAAACATCAATAAAATATTATGTAGGTAGGTCATCAATCATACATGTATGTAAACTGATCAATAACATCAAAGGAAGCATTAGGCTCTACCATATTATTATTATAGTTATTTATGAACTCGACTGTACCTATCCTATTTTATATAGCCTGACCAGGAACATAAAAACCCTGGCATAGAGGCGCGTCAATTGCATTTGATAGTGCAACACTGAGTACAGTCGTACCTGTGTTAAATTAATAGGCTAACTTTATGTATCAGGATTCAGAATTACGGGCTTATTTGATATTTTCATAAATTAACGAAAAAATATTATTATAGGTAACCAGATTTAAATAAATTAAATGAAACCATCAATCGAGCTAGTAGAATTTATTTTATTATTCATCAATAATCAAATTCAGAACTTGAATATTCAACTGCAATGTCTGCTCATGAACGCTTCAAAGTCGGTACTTCTTTCCCAATCCCATAAAATTCAACACTTAGAAAGTGACACATTTTTTAAAATAGGTAGTTGAAACAANCCTTAAAATAAATTATTACCATTAGTTTTCCGCAACATGGCGAGGGTTTTTATGTTCCTGGTCAGAGCCCCGATTACGGTAACTTTTATAACGTCTACAATCCAGACGCGTTTCTGATTCTGCGATACGATTGGTCAAAACAGCTGACGTACGCTGTTGAACGACCAATCGTATCGCAGAATCGAGAAGCGTGTCTGGATTGTTGACGTTAAAAATTACCGTAATCGGGGCTCAGGCTATATGCATGAAACAGATAATTTTAGATTTGCGTACCCCAGAATCGGTCCCTTAGCAATTGTCATTCATTCATTCAAAGAGAAAACAAATTGTCAATGTCACTTTGTGTGTCACTTGGTGTCACTGTCAGTGAAAAAAAGGTAAAAAAAAAACGAAGCTACGACAAAGATTTTGCTATTTCGGAATATTTGTAGAGGAACAAATATTAATTTAACTTAAAAGCTACTAAATTAGTACCCAGAAATGAGTGTACGTATTATGAAAAAACATATTTGGTGTACCCAATAATACCCGTTAGTTCGTAATCTTTTGGGTTTTTTAAGGTTATAATCAAAGGACCACAAATACCACAATGGAAGACTCTTCGAAATACCAGCAGATGCAAGATGAAATGTCCAGGTAGGGTAACTTTATACCTTACTCAGTAATAGGTATTTGTGTTTTACTTTTAGTAAATAGAACTACTGGAGTCAGGATCTAATAAACAAGGTTTACCTACAGAACATATCACGGTTTAGACGAGCACCAATACCTAACGTTAAGGCTTTTCCATGTCTGTTATGACAGTTCTTTACACAGAACCTTCATTTCGCTAGGTTCGAAGCAGAGATATCGGGCACTGATCTCCCGATGGCGCCGCGGGCGGTGATAGGCGCGGGCACGTTCGGCGCAGTGCAACAACAACTAGAGCGCGCGGTGCCGCCGCCGCCGCCGCCGCCCAGCCTGATGCCGGGGTTCGATCCGGCGTTGGCGGCGCGCATGATGTACCCTACTGTACCGCCACCGCCACCGCCGCCGACTATGATGGTGCCGGCGTCGGTATGTAAACCTCATTGTCACATCACTAGACTTGTAAGTCTAAATCTCCTTTTTTCAGACATGAGACTGTTTTGGTCATCATAGATGATGCGCAATCTCAAAGTTAAAATCTTTCAGAAAAACAAACTTCGAGGAAAACAGTTGGACACATTAAAAGATGGGATGATGAGATGATCAAGATTGAAGCTGATATAAATACAACTTTATAAACTTTAAAAGATCTACTGTATAGTTCTATACATGACCTTTTCCGATTGTAGGCATTATATGCAAGTCCCATAATAACTTGTAAACTTGCAATCGCTGGCATTTTACTGACTGTTCTTATTAGGAGCTGTTGAACAGATAACTCAAAAATACAGCAATAAACCCAGCCACAAATCATCACTACTTTTTTTTTATTTACTATACACATATTTTGACGTTCATAAGTGCCACCAGTGGTCTAAATTGAATGAAATATTTTTGATTTTGTTTGCTGCCCCTTATAGGTCCAAAGACTCCGGCCACCAATGGGTGCTGAGGGCTTCCCCGGCCCCATACCGTTCCTCCGCCCAGGGCTACCGGGCCCGCAGCTGATCCCGCCGCCGCCGAAGCCCCAGCCTGTCGTGCTGTCCGCCGCGCCCAAACTGTACAAACAGCCCAAGGAAGATGAAGAGAAAAAGGAGAAACATGAGAGCAAAAAGAGGGTAAGTTTTATTAAAAAAAAAGTATATTGAAAATGTTTTTAACAGAAAAAAAATGTGTCTTGACACTTACCCTACCATTGAAATGACATTCATGTTATTAATATTGGTAGGTTTTCTTTGGTCACTGTGACAAACCTTTATGTACACTACTAGGTCTACTAGCTTTTGTCTGCGGCTACACCCGCTTGAAGTTTAGATGTCACATATCGTCATAAATTATAGCCTATATGTTATACTGGGTTATAAACAATAGTACTGTAAAGTATCATCAAAATCCGTTCAGTAGTTTTTGCGTGAAAGAGTAACAAACATCCATCCAGACATCCAAACTTTCGCATTTATAATATTAGTAGGATAAGATTTTAAACTTTCCCATTCCATTACAACTAAAATAGAGAAACACGGGTCTTCATACATTATCTTCAAATATGCTGCAGCGAACAATATGCTGGTTCATTATGATGAACCTACCTGCTTAACACCAGCATATTGAGCTTACCATGAGGGGTTAATAGGACTTCTTATCAATTATTGTATTGTAATACAAATAACCTTAAAAAAAGCAATTTGCTGCTCTCTGTACTATAAAGCAGTGTCAGGCCTGTTNACATGAAACAAGGTTTACCTACAGAACATAATCACAGTTTAGACAAGCACCAATACCTAACGTTAAGGCTTTTCCATGTCTGTTATGACAGTTCTTTACACAGAACCTTCATTTTGCTAGGTTCGAAGCAGAGATATCGGGCACTGATCTCCCGATGGCGCCGCGGGCGGTGATCGGGGCGGGCACGTTCGGCGCAGTGCAACAACAACTAGAGCGCGCGGTGCCGCCGCCGCCGCCGCCGCCCAGCCTGATGCCGGGGTTCGATCCGGCGTTGGCGGCGCGTATGATGTACCCTACTGTACCGCCACCGCCACCGCCGCCGACTATGATGGTGCCGGCGTCGGTATGTAAACCTCATTGTCACTTCACTAGGCTAGGCTTGTAAGAAATTTACTTTTTTCAGATGTGAGACTGTTTTGGTCATCATAAATGATGCACAATCTCAAAAGTTAAATTTTTTCAGAAAAACAAACTTTGAGGAAAACAGTTGGACACATGAAAAGATGGGATTATGAGATGATGAGATGATCAAGATTGAAGCTGATATAAATACAACTTTATAAACTTTAAAAGATCTACTGTATAGTTCTAAACATGACCTTTTCCGATTGTAGGCATTATATGCAAATCCCAATAACTTGTAAACTTGCAATCGCTGGCATTTTACTGACCGCTCTTATCAGGAGCTGTTGAACAGATAACTCAACAATACAGCAATAAACCCAGCCACAAATCATCACTACCTTTTTTTTTATTTACTATACACATATTTTGACGTTCATAAGTGCCACCAGTGGTCTAAATTGAATGAAATATTTTTGATTTTGTTTGCTGCCCCTTATAGGTCCAAAGACTCCGGCCACCAATGGGTGCTGAGGGCTTCCCCGGCCCCATACCGTTCCTCCGCCCAGGGCTACCGGGCCCGCAGCTGATCCCGCCGCCGCCGAAGCCCCAGCCTATCGTGCTGTCCGCCGCGCCCAAACTGTACAAACAGCCCAAGGAAGATGAAGAGAAAAAGGAGAAACATGAGAGCAAAAAGAGGGTAAGTTTATTTTTTGTCTGTTATGACCTTGATGACAGATAAGCCTTTCTGGGACTAATGTGTCTTTTTTGTTAAATAGTAAAGATATCAGCGATTCCTTAACCAAATTGCACAGTTATTTTTACCACCTTTTGTGTAAAGGGAAAAGTATATTGAGATTTTTCAGTGTTTTTGGGATTGTGTTGACTACTATTCCGTGTCATACTTTTAACATATCATGGAATGCAAAGCCATTAACGACCCACCCACATAATTCATTAGTGCACTTGCTTGACACATTTCGGCCGTTTAGTGTAGTGGTTCAGAACGGACTACTATGCCGAGAGGTCCCGGGTTCGATTCCCGGCCGGGCAGAAATTGAAATGATGAATTTTAATTTCTGTGACGGGTCTGGGTGTTACTATCCCAACTAATATTATAAATGCGAAAGTAACTCTGTCTGTCTGTCTGTTACGCTTTCCCGCTTAAACCTCGCAACCGATTTTGATGAAATTTGGCATAGAGATAGTTTGAGTCCCGGGAAAGAACATAGGATAGTTTTTATCCCGGTTTTTGAAACAGGGACGCGCGCGATAAAGTTTTTCTGTGACAGACAAAAATCCACGCGGGCACGGTAATATGTACTATCATACAGTATTGTAACTTCATATAAACGGACGAAACGCGAGCTTTCCTTCGAAATTCAAATCTCGGTATGCGCTCGACATGCAAAAGTCGGGGGTGTCGCGAATGTGCCACAGTAATAAACGGACGATGTGTTGGTATTTAAACAGTGTTTTTTTATAAAAATAATTACAAGTAGGTACCTATTTATACAGGGTGTTAGGTAAATGGGTTTATACGCCGACACTAGCCCATGTTAACATTTATGCATGTAAATGGTATGGTGAAGTCAGTGATATCATTTCTTTTAATTTTCATACAAAATAAAATTTACAAAATCAGATTTGTATGAAATAAAATTATTAAAATGATGATATCAATTTTCTGACTTCATCATACCATTTATATGCACATGTTAACATGGGCTAGTGTCCGCTTATAAACCCATTTACCTAACACCCTGTATAATTATCAAGCATTTTGTACGCCTCAGTCGAGGCGCATACATTTAACGGTCGCAAATTTAAAAGATTTGTTACTATCCTAACACAAATATATTTTTTGAATAAAATCTATTAATAACAAGACAACATGCATTTTTATCCTATTTCATTCACAAAGTATTTTGTTTGTCAAAATAAAATAAAAAATTACAATCAGAAAATACATTCACAAAACTAGATAGAAATTCTAAGTAGGCAGATGTAATGAAAATAGGGTCTGCAGGTGGGCAGCCCTATCGCATGTTGTCATTCGGTGACGTACCGCGCGGCTGTTGACATTTATTTCAAAAATATGGCCGAGTTGGAATACTGTATAGATATCATTACCGTGACGCGGGCGAAGCCGCGGGCGGAAAGCTAGTGTATAATATGTATGTATTTAAAAAAAATATATATAAGTAGTATATCCGTTAACAAGCATATTAATTGCTTACTTTGGGGCTAGATGGCGCTGTGTGAGATTGTCCAAAGATATTTATTTATTTATTTAAACTTTGTCTACAGAAGCGCTCGCCGCCGCCGCCGCCGCAGCGTGCGCCGACGCCGCCGCCGCCTGAGCCTGCGCCCGCGCCGCCGCCGCCGCCCGTCATCTCCGTGCCCGAGCCCGGCGTCCCCAAGCCCAAAAAGGAGAAAAAGAACAGAAAGGTCGGTGCCCTTCCTGCGTCGGCCGTTTGGTGTAGTGGTTCGAAACGGACTACTATTCCGGAGGTTGCGGGTTCCAGTGCCGTAACTAGGGCGGTGCCAGCGGTGCCCAGGCACAGGGCGCAGACCCTGGAGGGGCGCAGAAATGACCAGACCAAGCATTTTTCAAGGGCGCAGTTTTGAAAGCTCGCACCGGGCGCATAAAAGGCTAGTTACGGCACTGGCGGGTTCGATTCCCGCACAGNAGCCTAAGGAGATGAACAGAAGGGTTGGTGCCCTTCCTTCTTTCTTCTCACATTACTTGACCCAAAGCCTAAGAAGGAGAAGAACAGAAGGGTTGGTGCCCTTCCTTCTTAAGAATATTATATTCAGTACTTGAGCCCTTTCCAGGGCGCTTATAACACCCTACCACCACTTTTGGACATCATATGGGCTGGTGTTGGTTCTCACATTACTTGTGAACAACTGAAGCGTATTGATCTGGAGTAGAATAGACAATAACAAATCTTCGCTTGGTTGTCGTAAGAGACGACTAATGCTTCAACCACACCACGAATGCTAATCGCCATCGGTGTAGTGGCCTACGCCAAATCCACTATTTGCCTCTGATAAATTGGAGACTAAATGACTGTAAAATTTAATTGCCACAAATATTTGGAATTCTGATTTAAATTACTTACAAAATTAACTGTGATAAACAAAATGATCAGTGGAGGCGGCGAAATTGAACTCACGCCTGTTGTGTGACAGAGGCGTTAAATCTATAAGTAAAGCTATACAAATAATATCAATAAATACTCAGTCCTTACAGAATATTATCCAGGTCTAAATCGATCAAAATGTTTCCAGGTGGTCCGAACCGCCGGCGGCCAAGTCTGGGAGGACGTGACGCTGCTCGACTGGCCCGACGACGACTTCCGCATGTTCTGCGGAGACCTCGGCAATGACGTCACCGACGAGCTCCTCATCCGGACCTTCAGCAAGTACACCTCCTTCCAGCGCGCCAAAGTCATCCGAGACAAGCGCACAAACAAGAGCAAAGGCTTCGGCTTCGTCAGCTTCAAAGACCCCGGAGACTTCATTAAAGCAATGAAAGAAATGGACGGAAGATACGTCGGCAGCAGACCGATCAAACTAAGGAAGAGCACGTGGAAGAATAGAGCTTTAGATGTTGTCAGAAAAAAGGAGAAAGAAAAGCAAGCGCTACTCTCTCTGCTGCTCTCGGGAAATAAGAGCTGACAGGAGAATAACGCCTGAACGGCTGTGATGTGAGTGGTAGATGTAATAGGCTAGTTTCCTAAAAAAATTTTTTTAGTCCGTAATGTTTAATATCAAAAAATATTGGACACATATATTTTTATTTGTCAATCTAACAAATAATTACATAGTTATGGTGCGTTGAAGTTCCGAACGACGTCACAACGTGCGGCACTTTTATGCACGCATTGACGTCACGGGCCTCTTCTTATGAACTTTGGCGCGCTTTATCTCTTTAAATTTTCATTAGTTTGAAAAAGTGAAAAATACGTGTAGAGNAAGAACAGAAGGGTTGGTGCCCTTCCTTCTTAGTTCTCACATTACTTGTCCCAAAGCCTAAGAAGGAGAAGAACAGAAGGGTTGGTGCCCTTCCTTCTTTGTTCTCACATTACTACACAACTGCCTCTGTCGTCTAGTGGTAAGACCACCTGCTTCAGACGCAGAGGTCCCGGATTCGATTCCCAGTTGGGGCAGATTCTTCTGTTCGGTTTGGTTGGTGGTAGAGCTTGTTCAAAGTCCGCCTGAGCCCCGATTACGGTAACTTTTAACGTCTACAATCCAGACACGCTTCTCGATTCTGCGATACGATTGGTCGTTCAACAGCGTACGTCAGCTGTTTTGACCAATCGTATCGCAGAATCGAGAAGCGTGTCTGGATTGTAGACGTTAAAAGTTACCGTAATCGGGGATCTGGCTAGCTAACCACCATCTTACCTAGTAGTACCCAGTTAGAGGTGAGATAGCCAGTTCCTCCGTGGTTGAGGATTCCGAGTGAAGCTCGCTTCCACCTTCGGCCTGATCATCACTTACCATCAGGTGAGATACAGGCAAAGAGCTTCCTCGTTGTGGATAAAAAAAAAATTACTTGTCCCCAAGCCTAAGAAGGAGAAGAACAGAAAGGTTGGTGTCTTCACCTCTTTACTCTATTACTTATGAATATGCAACTCCAGAAGAGTAGCATAGTAAAATCTCAACTTTTCCAGGGGATATTGTAACTATAGACTAAAGGGGAAATTAATGGAAACATGAGACGTCACCATACACCTGGTGAGCATGGATAAGGGGTCTGTTGTCTGTAGGAAGCTGCAGGGTAAATTGGAGACTAAATGACCTGATGATAATGCAACTAATGGTGTTTTCAAAAAGTGAATGACCACATTCATTAGGTGGTTTTTCTCATTACCTAATGTGGTTTAAATTATTTATACGGTGAAATTAAACTCATATGCCTGCTATGTGCCAGAGAAATTAAAGCTAACTATAAAAGTAAAGTTAAGCAAATAATATCAACAGATACTGAATGTTATCAAATCTAAATCAATCAAAATGTTTCCAGGTGGTCCGAACCGCCGGCGGCCAAGTCTGGGAGGACGTGACGCTGCTCGACTGGCCCGACGACGACTTCCGCATGTTCTGCGGAGACCTCGGCAATGACGTCACCGACGAGCTCCTCATCCGGACCTTCAGCAAGTACACCTCCTTCCAGAGAGCCAAAGTCATCCGAGACAAGCGCACAAACAAAAGCAAAGGCTTCGGCTTCGTCAGCTTCAAAGACCCCGGAGACTTCATTAAAGCAATGAAGGAAATGGACGGAAGATACGTCGGCAGCAGACCGATCAAACTAAGAAAGAGCACGTGGAAAAACAGAGCTTTAGATGTTGTCAGAAAAAAAGAGAAAGAAAAGCAAGCGCTACTCTCTCTGCTGCTCTCGGGAAATAAGAGCTGACAGGAGAATAACGCCTGAACGGCTGTGATGTGAGTGGTAGATGTAATTGTTTCACTTGGACCTGGACTTGATAGTTGTACATTTAGCTAAACTTTTATGAGGGAAAATGTAACTAGTTCTTCCCATCTTCCCATGAAGTTACAACCGGGGAAAGATGACACGAAAATCAGCTTGTTTGGGGAAGATGGAATCCCTTGAATGTAGTGTGACTAGGAAATGTAGATTGTTGATATTTATGATCTAATTTTCAGTTGCTGCTGATTGTAATTTTCTGTTTGAGTAATAATATCTATCCCTAAGCTTTCATAGTTCTGTGAGTGTTCAATCCTATACATACTTATATTATTTAACCTGATAGTTTTAGATTCATTATGGCAATAGATAAACATGAACTTCACTCTTACAAATATAAAATTTAGTGCATAATTTATTACACAATTAATTTGTTGTATTTCTGATTAAAACATTAAATTGTCTTAGAAATGAATTAAAAAAATGTTTTATTTTTCTCCTTCACCATGAAACATACAATGCTTAATGATGCTAATTAAAAATTATTCGTCTATTGACGAAAATGACAGATGGGTGAGTTAAAATTTGTTTTTGGTAAAAATCAAAGTCCATTTACTTTTAAAATAAATTATAATTACTTTATAATTCTTTGGCTCAACTACTCTAATGATATTACATAACTTAAAAGTAATTGCACATTTTTATGTATTTTATACTACACAGGTATTCAAGAAGTCAGTCGAATTTTCTTGATTTAGATTTTTGATTTTTCGGTATATTAAAATGTTATGTTTGCCCCTCCTTAAGACAACGATTGATGTTATGCAATGTGGAAAACTTAAAGTTGGTTCTTTGAAAAATACTGATTCAGATCTCTGATGGTCAAACTCAAAACATAGAACAATCTCACGCCCGTATTCACAAACATTACTATGAGTTCTCACAGTGCGCGTGGACGCACAGGGTGACACATGAATCAATCAGAGGTCTATTCAACGCTGTGCATTCGATTTGCTGCTTCACATAAGCAAGTATCGTTTGTGAATACGGGCATCAGGCTCGGTTACTCAAGTAAGAGTAGAGTTTTATTTAATATAATTCGTGTGGGTGGGACCTTTTTGGCAATTTTTTTATTAAATTGTCTAACGCCCGTATTCACAAACATTACTATGAGGTCTCACAGTGCGTGTGACTGTGGACGCACAGGGTGACACATGAACCAATCACAGTGGTCTATTCAACTCTGTGCGTATAATAAGTAAGTATCGTTTGTGAATACGGGCGTCAGGCTCGGTTACTCAAGTAACGGCCGGTTCACACATGTCTCCGTTTTACTGTTCCGTTTTATCGTGTACGTTTTTTTTCGTCGATGGCGTATGTAGTTGTATGAGCGACTTCACACATGACACAGTATTCTGTGGGTCTAGACAAAGTGCAAATTATAATCGCAAACCAGTCGAAAAGTGGTCGAAAAGCCCCTTTTTTGTATGGAGTTTTGACGGATTCGATTTTCGATTCGATCAAAAAGTGCGTTTTGTCTAGGGGGGATAGAGTAATACATACATCGACGAAAATAAAACGTACACGATAAAACGGAACAGTAAAACGGAGACATGTGTGAACCGGCCGTAAGAGTAGAGTTTCATTCAATACAATTCGTGTGGGTGGGACCTTTTTGGCATTTTTTTAATTGTCAAAATTCGTTTTTTAGTTGCTTTAGTTTTTTCTCCTTCATTCGGGTTTAGTCCTCAACCGTATTATCGTCATCGCCCGGCGCGAGTCGGTTGCGCAGTCGCACGAAGGGCCGCGGACGGGTGCGAGGCGGCGCGGTGGCGGCGGCCGCATATTGCTCGTCGAGGCAGCAGCGGGCGTCGCCCTCCTCTGAGGGTGTACTAGGGCAGAATGGCGCGGAGAAGTCCTCTATGCAGTACGCGCCGGATGCTCTGTGTGATTAATATTTGGACTTAGTACAGTGACACTCATCATCATCATCATCATCTCGGCCATAGGACGTCCACTGCTAAACATAGGCCTCCCCCAATGCTTTCCATGTTGCCTGCGTCCAGCGCCTTCCTGCTACGGACAGTGACACTGTCGGGTGTAAATCCAACACATCAATAGGGATGAAATGGTAAAAGTCTAAATTGGTTCAACTTGTTCAAATGGTAATGGTATGATGAGTGCACGCGGCGATGGTAACCGAACGCGAAGTTAGATATGGCGAGACTGTATACGATGAAAATATAGCTTTAACATTTTAAATGCTAGGATAATGGATGAGCTAGGGGTGTGTAAAAAGCTTAGGCGAGAAATGTCTAAATGCGGCACTGTACGCTACTGAGGGACTACGTCTCTACGGGAATATGCCACATGCTTCTTATCTAGTATCATAAATAAACCGCACCTTCCGCGACGCGAACTTTAAAGATTTTCTTCTGACACAATCATGGTACCCCGACAATATTGGTGTTATTTGAAAGCCCAATAAATATCCTTAAAGAAAAACACATTTAATTTCTTAATAAAATATTAACATATACTTTGGGCTCACCTCTGGGATCAATTAGACCAAATTTTATGGTTATAAAACCAAATAATGATTAAACGTGTCCTCTTTAACAGATGGATAGCGATTAATCCCAACTTAGCAGTTTTATGGCCATAAAAGTTGGCTCAAACGTAACTACCTATTTTTTGAAGAAGTGACTCTGGATCCTTCTAAAGACACATTTTTAGGGTAAAAACCTTTCCTTTAATGAAATGAAGCCTAGTTCTAGGCTTTTAAATGGTGCCAATATTGGTGGGAAGTGGGGATGCATACCTACGTTTCAAAGTGCTTGTCGCGGGAGTTGCGATTTATTTGACGACGAGTGTATTATTTGGAGAGTGTGGAACATTAAACATGTTTAAATTTCTTGGGATTCGAAATCGCCAGATGGCGATGGATTAGATTATCCGATACAGAAGGAAAGTTCTTATAATCCATAACTTCTAGCTAGCTCGTTAGGCTGCGGTAGTTACTTACACCCTACTTGAGAGATGAATATTTCTGCAGCGAAGTAACTACTTCGCTCTTCAGTCCACTGACTGAAGTGGCCGATGATTGATAAATAATGAAGTATTAGGCAGTGAAACTATCATATTAACCATATTGTACTTACGTCATGGGAGCCGATTGGCCCAAAGGTACTGGGAGTGCCGATGCTCGTGATGGTGGTACCCTCACTGAGCAGCGCCGGCCGCACGGAGTCGCCTCCCGCGTGCGGAACAGACTCTCCGCCTGGTAGCAGATCGACCAGATGTGGCTGCAGAGCGCCTCGTCTGCAAGAAGTAGACATTTTTAACGCAATCGAACAACGGTCTTTCAGAGGGATGTTGGTTTGGTTCTGTGCTACGTTATTGTGTAATTCTCTCACTAACGAGTTGTCCTACAGAGCGTTATCATCACCGTTTCAGCCACAGGACGGCCACTACTAAACTGCCCCAATGATTTCCAGCGGCCGGATCCAGCGCCTTCCTGTTACCTTTATGAGGATCCAACGCTGCGTTTTCCGTAATGTGGCCTCTACTCCAGAACCTTGCTACAGGGCGATCGTAGTAATAATAGCGTTTCATCCAGCACCCCTGGTGACTCACTGGGCGTGTCCTCGCAGTAGGGCTGGCTGCGGCCGCCGTTGAGGCAGAAGTCGGCGTGTCCCAGGCGCGCCGCCTCGCCGTAGTGTCCACAGAACCTTCCTACATAGCGTTCTTAGTTATAAAAGCGTTTTATCCTCTAGCATCCGCGATATGGAAAGGGCTATGCTCAGCGTTTCTTTACGAGATTAAATCAGAAATGAGGAGATCCGTAAACGTCGTAAACTAAAGTCACTGACATAGCCCGACGGATTAGCAACCTGAAGTGGCAATGGGCAGGGCACATAGTACGCAGAACTGACGGCCGATGGGGCAGCAAGGTTCTGGAGTGGAGGCCACGTACCGGAAAAAGCAGCGTGGAACGTCCACCCACAAGGTGGACCGACGACCTGATAAAGGTAGCAGGAAGGTCCCCACATTACAAGACGCTGGATGCAGGCCGCTACCACCCGTGCGATGTGGAACTGTGGAAGTCATTGGCAGTGGACGTGCTATGGCTGAAATGATGATGATGATGACCCTTGGTGACTCACTGGGCGTGTCCTCGCAGTAGGGCTGGCTGCGGCCGCCGTTGAGGCAGAAGTCGGCGTGTCCCAGGCGCGCCGCCTCGCCGTATTGGCCACAGAACCTTCCTACATAGCGTTCTTAGTTATAAAAGCGTTTTATCCTCCAGCACCCCTGGTGACTCACTGGGCGTATCCTCGCAGTAGGGCTGGCTGCGGCCGCCGTTGAGGCAGAAGTCGGCGTGTCCCAGGCGCGCCGCCTCGCCGTAGCGGCCACAGAACCTTGCTACAGGGCGTTCTTAGGCCGGTTATAAAAGTGTTATAGCACCCCTGGTGACTCACTGGGCGTGTCCTCGCAGTAGGGCTGGCTGCGGCCGCCGTTGAGGCAGAAGTCGGCGTGTCCCAGGCGCGCCGCCTCGCCGTAGTGTCCACAGAACCTTCCTACATAGCGTTCTTAGTTATAAAAGCGTTTTATCCTCTAGCATCCGCGATATGGAAAGGGCTATGCTCAGCGTTTCTTTACGAGATTAAATCAGAAATGAGGAGATCCGTAAACGTCGTAAACTAAAGTCACTGACATAGCCCGACGGATTAGCAACCTGAAGTGGCAATGGGCAGGGCACATAGTACGCAGAACTGACGGCCGATGGGGCAGCAAGGTTCTGGAGTGGAGGCCACGTACCGGAAAAAGCAGCGTGGAACGTCCACCCACAAGGTGGACCGACGACCTGATAAAGGTAGCAGGAAGGTCCCCACATTACAAGACGCTGGATGCAGGCCGCTACCACCCGTGCGATGTGGAACTGTGGAAGTCATTGGCAGTGGACGTGCTATGGCTGAAATGATGATGATGATGACCCTTGGTGACTCACTGGGCGTGTCCTCGCAGTAGGGCTGGCTGCGGCCGCCGTTGAGGCAGAAGTCGGCGTGTCCCAGGCGCGCTGCCTCGCCGTAGCGGCCGGCGTTGGTGTGCAGCACGTGCACCGCGCGCGCGTCACCCGGGTCCAGGCGAAGAGCGGGCGCCGACCGGATCAGAGGCCGGGCGGGGTCCAACCCTGGGGAAAATAGCGGTTATTTTAAGACACCGTAGACTACGGAATTTTGGTCGGCCGACAGTTTGGTCAAACTGTTATATTAACAGTTTGACCAAACTGTTGATATAACATCATTATTATCAAATCGGTATAGTACGCACTATACCGATTTGATAATAATGATCAATTCCTTAAACAAATTAGTATCTGACCGAACTAGAACCAGAGTCTACCTCAATTAGGTATTGTCAGTGTTTACGTTAATCTCGTATTATGTTAAATTATAAAAGAAATACATTTTAAAGAAAGAAAGAAGAAAGCAAAAATATTTATTTGGTACTAAAAATAGATTTATCTAAGATTTACTTTAGGTCTTGTACAAGACCTAAGTAAATATGCGTAGTTCATTTCATAGTTGATGTTGAGCAACCTAAGAGTATGCACATAGATGATACTTCGCGAAAATTTGTAGATAGACGATGACGTGTGAGAAAATAGATAACAACTCACTTCCTGCGTCGGAGATGAATGTATGAGCTATTATTTTTATTCATTGTTTTTATGTTCAATCTAAGTAAATAGTCGTTTGCAGTTTTCATTACGCATGAAATCTACAAGTCGTGTGTTACTGTAATAGGGAAGAAGGAAGTTCGTGTCGCTGGCTGCCGCTATGCAGAATGGTTTTTTAACTGTCGTTTGTTGTCATCTAGGAAGGTGGAGCGATGACGTAACTGCTGCTTCGACATGGCGATTGGAGTTATGGTAGCAGACTAATAGTTAAGCCTTTACATAAAGGTAATAAGAACACCTAGGGAACAAAAAGTCCCAAAACGCAATATGCGATTTTTCTAAACCTATCTCCTTCCAAGTCTAACGCCCGTATTCACAAACGATGCTTACTTAAGTGAAGCAGCAAATCTAACGCACAGCGTTGAATAGAGCTCTGTGATTGATTCGCGTGTCACTCTGTGCGTCCACGCGCACTGTTATACCTCATTGTAATGATTCTAAATACGGCCGTAAGTCATTTTTCAGTTACAAGTTTTATGTAGATTAACTCGTGGAAAAGTTTAACGTGAAAACATTGAAAGCTCTGTGACTAGAAAAGAGTAAGAACAAGAAACCAGTCAAAGTTTTCTTACCTATAATCCTATTAAGCCTGAAGGTGAGATAGTTAGCGAGTATCCCGCACAAGTGGGCGCCCAACGAGTGGCCGACGCACGTCAGGCGGTCGGGGCGGAGGCCGGCGCGCCGCAGCGAGCCTAGGGCTTCGGCCACGCACCGCGCGACTGGCCGCAGGTTGTGAACAGCTGCCACGTAGCATGGCGGCTGGCAGAGGGAGCCCCAGTCGAGCATAAGTACGTTGTAGCCGCCGCGGCGGAGGTACGCTGGGAAAGAACGATTTACTTATGTTATTGAGAGCGCATTAGTAGACTATTGCTCTACGTACCTACCCCATATAAAACGACATAAATATATCTAAGTATTATGTGATTATCAACAGCACTCCAAACTATATTTTTTGTTGCAAAATACCCATATTACAATAAGATAACCGCAATATTAACTTTGCCCTCAGGTTGTGCCCCAGATTTGACTCGCACAAAGAACAGATTTTAGCATTCAGGACCTAAATCCTCGCAGAAATTGTAACACAGATTACAGCTACAGCTGACTGTACCAGTATTGAGGACAATAAGTAGTGAGTACTTATGTTAGTAGGTAATTTCTAGGTAGACTCGATTGCACCACGGACAGAGTGCATGCGACAGTGATCATCAGTCTTCCTGATCAGCTTACGAAGCAACTGCAGGTTTCAGTGGGTAGAATTGGCGCACAGAGCTAATCTTGCTGCAACCCCAACTGCAGGATGATTGTGTAAAATTATCTAAAAAAAGTAACAGGCTTGCATTAGTCAATCTTATATAAAGTTTAATATTAAAACACAATAATATTGGCGTTAATCTGTTCATACATATCTATCTCGTAACATGTGGAGAAACTTTTATGCAAGTTTAAGTGCCAATAAAAAGCCATATGCCATATGGAGTGCATAAGGTAAAGTGCATCAGGTCATCGACCGGAGAAAGCCTGGGAACTGCAGCCGGCAAGGCAATAAATTGCATTTTATGTGACGCCTTTAGTTCCTTTCGCTTTCATGTAAAGGTGGATGGCGGCACTCACTGTAGCATCAGGACCACACGTTTGTAGTCAAAGCGATTTTGCATCAAAACAGTTCTGTTGCTGTACAGTCAGCGTCAAATAGTTCGTGACATCCAAAATAGCCAATAAGTTCGCAACACGTCTTTGTTACAATTGGAATAAGGCTGTGTTATCGACTTTTGGCCACTAAGTAATTCCTACTAAATCATTCTTCAATTACTGCTATTAAAATATAAAAACAATAAATCATTTGAAACCCTCAATTAAATTGACTGCCGAAAAATTTTACAGGTAGATTTATTTATTGCAAGTGTACTAATTGCTCATGAATCGTTTCGATTGATCTGTAATAATTGGAATGTCTTATTGCATTGCAAGTTACGATATAAATGAAACGAGAACCTTTCAAACCTTTAAAATGGAAAACCTCATCATTCTGTATTATTTTTCAAGCAGCAAAATTTTTATAAATGTTGTTCTTTAGAGTAGAGAGTCGAGAGTATAGCAGATAATTAGTCCACCGTGAGCAGAAATTTGTCCACTAATAGCAAATTTCTGCTCACGATGGACTAATTATCTGTACTGTTGATTCTCTAAAGCTCAACATTTATAAAAATTTTGCAACGGTAATGCACTCGTATAATAGTCTAATAATTTTTTATTGTAGATGTAGGTACAATAATCATATTAAGTATTTTATACAGCCAGTCTCAGCACTCTTTCGTTTTCGGAATCCACTGTTATTTAATTTATTGTGTAAAAAGTGAATCAAGCAATTTATTTTTCTCCGACCGCCCTTAATATTACCTTCGTGTCGTTACTCTATCAACTAAGCCTAAGCGCAGACCACTAACTTGTAGTTGGCTGATCGATAGTTGGGTCGGTCTGTTAATCAGTCAGTATGGAGATGTATGAATTAGAATCGGGCCCAACTATTGGCCAACTGTTTTGTTGCCCAGTCGATGAAGCACATGATGTCGTGCCTGAGTGTCCGAGCATCTGCACGCAGGAGGTTTTAATGAATGTTGCTGACAACGCCACTCTTGTAGCGGAGTTCTGGGCTGACACTGTGTAGGTTTGTTGTCGACACGGAAGAAGAAGATAGGCCAAATAAAAGTTGGTGGTCTTCGCCTAGAATAAAGGGTGCTCTACACTGCGCGTCTAAGGACGGGGCTTGCTAGCTGACTTTTATCTCTATGTATGTATACAATACTAGAGCTACTCACCATCTCTGAGCACCGCGATGGGCAGCGTGTCGTCTCCGCCGGCGTACCCGTGGATGAGCAGGATGGTCTCGTGCGAGGGCTCCCAGCCGCTCTGCCGGAGCCAGTCCTCGCTGAACAGGTCCACCTGACAATTTGCAATTTAGTTATTATTTACTTTTAAAATGTATCATCAAAACAATAAGACAGGGTGAAATCACGTCGCGGCGTCGTTTGCCTGACATAGAGCAACGAAAATTGTATGACGAAAAAGTAAATTAATATGTTTACGACAATAACTGATAAAAATAAACGGAAGGAAAAAAATTTAGAGCCAAATAATGTAGAAAATGAATAAAACCCGTCTTGCTCTACTGTACTTTTAAAATTTATGGACTACAATGCTAATGTTTCCCATGTATACTCGTAGTGCTACCAATGTTACATGTTTACAACAATTTAGTATTCTTTGAAGTGTTAAAAAGTTCTTAAATTCCACCGTGACCTTCAGCAGAATTCTAGCACAAAAAATTAGAACAACTATCTATTTTTGGAATAGCTGATCATATCTTGGATGCGATTTCTGGGTTGCGTGCGTTTTGCATGCAGGCGACGCGCTACTAAGGAGGTCCTCGAGGTAGCGGTACTCCGAACGCATTCCTTCCGTTTAGCAGCCATTGTTCCTTTTGGCAAAAGTGAAATTGGAATTCGGAATATAAATAAACAGGTCTGTACTCTGTGCATGCCGACGATAAGGCCCTTATGCCCGTATTCATACAAAGTAAAGGTAGATAGATATCCGCATAGTTTGAAGAACTGAATAAATTAACTGAAACTGCTCATTCATTTTCAGACATGATATTCAGGCTATTGACATAAATATGTCGTCTGATTTGAGTGCGTTAACATTATATTGTTAACTTTAACCTCTTACCTACGGGAAGCACCTCTATAGTTGCCAAGTCAAAAGTCACTTCAAAATACAATAAAATTGCAAATTAAGTGTAAAATGCACTTGTAATTATGAAATTACATTAGTTGCAGAATATAATATTCCAAATTTCAATACCGTTAGTCTCATACTTTTTTAAAATATTTTGATGTAAAGTGGAGCAAACAAATTTATAGGTTAAAATACCCCGTATTGAGAGGCGATTTTGGTTTCCAAGGGCCCGTAGGTAAAGGGTTAACTTCGTGCAAAAATCATCTAGTCTATGTAGAGATGTTTGGATAAAAACATTATACCAACCGAATGAGGGTTTTCGCGATTGAAAAATCCGCCAGATGGCAATACGTAGACGGCAGGTCCAAATGCTGCATGATTGGTGGATTTTGACATATCTGTCAATGTCATGTCAAAAATAACCAATCATGCAGCATTTGGACCTCGCGTCTGCGTATTGCCATCTGGCGGATTTTTCAATCGCGAAAACCCTCATTGAGAACCTCCTTTTGTTGAAGTCGGTCAAAAAGTGCGTTTATTTGTTTCATAAAATATGAAACTAACATTGCAAGCTCGTAGGAGATAACATTCCTCGCTATTTAATTAAAGGGCGCACAATGTAAATACTTTCTTAACTCCGCATCTGTCGCTATCTAATCTAAGTAGAGTAATTACTGCAGTTGCCAAATGTTACAACTTAAATTCATCTTACCCAATGTAAGTTGGCTTTGAAAGAAAGGGAAACTTATCGTATAGTAGATAGATACTGAAGTACCTATTCGGTTTTATGGGGAAACGCTTTCGTAACAGTTAAATTATAAACTACCATTATTTTTGTTAACGGCTTTGCTCATCCAAAATAGAGAAACACCGGTTTAAACGCGTCATTTTTATATGAGTTACTTACTACTTACTCACGGCTTGACTTTTGCTTTGCTCATCTCTATATTATACAAATATTAACTGTGTCTCTATGAAGTAAATACCCGTTGAGGATGAACCTAAACCACTTCACTAATAAAAATATTAATGACACTTTTTCGAGTAAAGATTTTTCGAGTAGGTATATTCGCTCGTTCGTGTCACGCGATTGTGTTATAAGTTAATTCGTTTTTCATTAGACAGTCTTCGTGTTAGTAGGTAAGTTAATTTATTCCGCGACATTGAACTATTGAACGTAAAACCGCACTATTTAGTGCGTCGAAGTAGATTTTGCATTAAATTACAATTATGCGTACATAAACCTGTTCTTTCAGGGCGATTCAGGCGGAAATGACTATTTTATATCCGCTGCAGTATGATGAAAAACCGAAAAGCATATTTTTAATTTAAAACTAGTTGTGCGCTGTTAACGAATACGAAATTAATTATTTTTATGAACTTTTTGTGTTGATTTATTATAAAACTTTCCTCATTCAATGACTGTCCTTGCAATCAACATGTTTGAGGTCTTCACCATAAGTGCTTTATGCTGATAATGACTACGCTACATGATTTATTTTTACCTTTACAATAAAGTTAATCTCATAAACAAGATTTCACACACACCGTTTTGGCTTACCAAAATAAGTAGGTACGAGTACATACACCGTTAACAAATTTTAAACTGTCTATAAAGTAGTTTTTGATTAAATTGCCTATGACAGACAACGAACATGAGTGGTTGTAACAGGGTTCCGATTGCCAAACCTTACGGAACCCATAAACAATTAATGCCTGTAAAGTTACGACGTTGCATTACCATATTATGACAATGCGCACACTCCCGTGAGAATATTAGTAACTAATAACAATGGCTAAAAATAATTATCTTAATTATGTGCGAATGTATACGCAATAGTTAATCAGTAAGCAAAAAACTTACACACGAACTGTAAAATGCTATACCTACCTAGTATCTACATAAGTTCTTCACACAAGATTTAGAATATAATAAAGCTTATTACTATTTAGCGAGTCAAAGCCTTTTGGGAGACATTTCTGACGTAGCAAATGGTGGTCTTACACTATGTAATAATTGAATGCTTTTCATTACGAATATTAATTAAATTCGTTATCAGAGGTATTTTAGCAGTCATATGCTAATTAAAATACTTTCTTGTTTATTAAATACATTAACTGATTTTATATATTCGCTCTGTTTAATTAAGCCCTAAGTAGAGTAGTTTCTTAAGCCAACAAGAGGTAATAAATGCAAAATTGATCGAATTATCACAAGATAGAAAGTAATTTATGATTTAATATTAACATAATGTTGATAATTAGCCTAATTATAATATAAATAATATGTATATGCAAATTAAACGGTGGAACACAAACAACTTACTGCTTTCGCAAATAAAGCGCGGTGCTAGCGCGTTGATGTTTTTTGTATAGGGCGTTTATGGATGCGTCCAAAACTGTCAAGTTAGCTACTAAACTTAACAATAAATAACAAAATTAGTTTGTTCATCACCATCGTCTGATGATGATGAAGATTTATCATCAAGGTACCACTGCTGAACATAGTTATACCTCTATTCATTTAATTACTTAAACCATTTTGAACGAGACTTTATTAAGTTTTAACTTTTACAATATTCTACCAAATCCAATATTCGTAATAAGTGGTCCCAAATCGTCACCTAACGTCCTACTCGAAGACGAAAGTCATCCAAGAGGAATACGCCACGATTTGAGAGGCCACAAGAAAAGGAGTCGCAAATCATGAACCGAGGTGATTGCAGCAGGAATCTAAGGAGTAAAATAGCCCCCAGCAGTGTGATAAGAAGTTCTAAACAGTACTCACCACTTTCTTCACAGGCTCCGACTCTGTGTACAAATTCAGAGACACGTTGGGGTCCGGGCACGGCTCCCTGTCGCGTCTCCACACACAGTCTTCAAATGTCGCGTTGATGAAACTGTCATTGTGCAGGAATAGAGCTTCTTTGATCGGGTGTCGTTGCGCTAATTTGCCTGTTGGAGAAAGGACGTTACATTGATATACCTACTTAACATTACCACAAATGTAGTTTGGATGCCAATGAAACGTAACCAGTGAAGGTTTAGTAGGTAACCTTGGGGATAGCTGACTGTCTACAACTACCATACCATATTTTAGATACATGATTCTGGTTAAGTCCTTTAGTCCTATAAATCCTGTTCACTAAATTTTCCCCCTAGATTCAGATCTAGGGGGAAAAGTCTGAACCCACAACTGAAACCAGCGTTGTAGTCAGACAATGACGAATGATCGTTTTCGTGCTCAGAAGGTCCACCTTTTCGAACAATGTCAGGCCTTCACGGCATATAAAAGCTTCATTGACAGGTATGAGGCAATTGAGGCAGGACTGTAAGTAACTGAGTTTACTTACTTACACTTACTAGATTACATTTGCAAGTCAGACATCATTGTATGGTGTGCAATGTGCAAGCTGATTCTTGATAGATTCTATAGCGGACAGTTTTTGCCTCAGAAAACGCGGATATTATCCAACAAGCCGTAATCTGGCGCGGCTCGAGGATTTCACAAATACATTATTCCACACACAAGCTCTGCCTACGGTAGAAAGTCGGGACACACTGAGAATTAAGACCACAACAAAAAGACATCACACTCATACGGCACGCAGTTCATTATGTTAACTTATTTACTATCTTCACGGTAATCAGAAAGCTTTCTCTTTTATCCTTATTGTTATTTTAAAGAAATTTTATTATATAATCGTAAAATATTGCTTTTAATGGTAACATGGAAATCTGCCTTCTTTCATCGTCCGAATATTTTTAGTTATTGTTTATGTGCATAATTTACATGTGTGTACTAGCAACTCTATGTAAAGTTTAGAGAAATTCAGGATTAAAAAAAGTCTGAAATCTACATTAAAAGACAGTTTTATTAACTATGCAATTTATCTAATCTAATTCAAAAATTCTAAAACGGGTTTGTCTCAACGTTTAGGCACTTCGTAGGTTTCCTTTAGCAGTCGTAAAAACAACATTATAAGAATTAGAACAATTGTATATTTTACTGACTAATTAACGTATTTCGTTGACTTGGGCAAAGTATATTTGGACACTGAAATAATAATCTGAAAAACCCAATATTAAAAACTATCTAATCGAGGGATGTTCTATCAATAGGTAGTCGGTATATGTACCAGGTATTATCAATAATATTTGTATAAATATCATCTACGTATAATATCGATGTTTTGCAAGTACTTACCTTGCGCGAGCAGTGCGATTGCCACGACCGCGGCGAGAGTGTGCGCGTGCGCACCCATCGCGTTTGCTCAACCAGCCAGCACTGGCGAACGCAGGATGGTGACGACACTCGGACATACATGAGTTGACGTTGCGCTCCTTGGTGACGTAGCTGCTCCAGATAATGCTACGTTCAAACGCTAGCCATCAATTTCATTGATGACTGCTTTTGTAAGAGGCGGGTAGACTAATGGGTAGATTGTAGGTAACTGACTGGACTGTTCCGTCAGGTAGGTAGGTAAAAAAATATGGAAGTTCTAACATCAAAATCTACCCTTTCTTGAAAATAACTTTCTGTGATACTGGTGTAGAGGAAGTATTGAAGCGTCATCTATACTTTTATTATAATATTGTAAATGCGAAAGTAACTGTCTGTCTTGCTTTCACGCCTAAAACACTGAACCGATTTTGATGAAATTTGGCATAGAGATAGTTTGAGTCCCGGGAAAGGACAAAGGATAGTTTTTATCCCGGTTTTTGAAACAGGGACGCGCGCGATAAAGTTTTTCTGTGATAGACAAGATTCCGCCGTGGGCGGAAAGTTAGTATAGATATAAATTGAAGGAAACGTTTAGGATTACTAATGTTTGGCCAAAAAACGTTTCCCAAATTATCACATGGCAAACAACGTTTCGCAAATTTTCATTTGGCAAATTCTCATTTGGCAAAACAACTTATTGCAAACTTTTAATTCGCAAATGTCTTTTTTGGCATATTATTGTTTAGAAAATTATTGTTTGGCAAAGTATGTTTTGCCAAATGTTTCATTTGGCAAAAATATTTCACGATAAACTATTTACAAAATAATTTGATTGGTGCATAGAATGGAATACAAATTAGCTTGTGGTTNAAACAGGCTGGCATATTAGATGGTGCCAGGGAATGCCAGACAAGTTGGTAACAAATATTAAGATTTAAGGTACAATTCCAAGACGGGCCGCAGACCGCAAACTTCAAAACTCTATGAAATCGGCAGCGCGGCATTGCTGCTGCGGCGTGTATACTGCAGATTTCATAGAGTTTTGCAGTTTGGAATAATTGTACCCTTAGACTCCGCCTTTATCCGAAACTATCCGTAACTTTTGAATCAGTTTCGGTTACGGTTATGGATATTTTTTTATTTCGGATATCCGATAGTTTCGGTTACGGTTACGGATATCCATAACATCCCTGCTTGGTAAGATGGCCCTCTCCGTCCCGCTCATACCTTTTAAAATGACTTCTCCAACTCATTTAAGCCTGAAACTTGAATTTTGGGCACATTAGAATAATAATTTTTAACCAAGGTAGATAAAGTTAAAAACGGGATTATTTCCAAAAAACCAAAAATTGTCGACAATTACAGCAAGAATTTACCAAGTGTTATACCATTTTGGAATCCATACTAAATGCGCCAAATTATGACGTCACTTGCCACATTCGCGTAGTACATTTTTTTTCAGTACAGTCAGTTTAAACTAGGCAAAATTTTTATTTTGAAAATTTTTTTGGGAATAATGTATTTTTTTCATCTAAGCTGGAGCAGCTGGTTTTGTAATTTTGATAACAATTTAGAGAAGCATTATTCAGGGTTACATAACAAAAAAAAAATTTGGAAAAAGTGAAGATTTGTGGCAACACGAGTAAAAAGACCGTCACCTGGAGTAGAAATTTTTGATTTTTTTTAAATGCCCATTATTTTGAAAATATGCCACATAGATTTTTTTTTTATTTTTCTGATAACCAACATAACTTGCCTCAACACCCAGTTCCGGCTTGACGTTACATTACGGGACACCCTGTATAATAATCAAACAACAAACTCGTAAATTGCATTCTTATTTAAATTATTTACGGAAAACATGATTTTAGGTTTAACTTGCTACAATATCATCAAGAGATACTAATTAATAAATACTAAATAAACAGATAAAGGGGACGGCATTAAGGCACTCAGAATTCTCAGAAACCATTGATTTCGTGTTTGTTTGTAACTGTATTAAGTGTATGAAAGCTGGAAATAATTTTTTGAATAGATTCAGTTCATTCAGTTCGTTCTTAAACATATTATTGATGCTGTTTGCTAGGTCTCATGAAGCACTTTTTCAGTAAGTAACCATTTGTTCGACATCTTGTATACCTACTATCCCTATCACAACATTTGCTATGATCGTTTGAACAAAGGCCTGCCACAACATTTTTCTCCGCTACAGGTAGAGACAATTTTAATTTTAACTAAAATGCTTATTTTACTTCGAAATCTTTTGTTTTTATTTGAAATCTAACTTGTCTTTATCAAAATTACAAATCTAGAGCCATTTTCAGTTTTTTTGTTAACGAAGCGTTGAATGGCGCGCCCGGAGAGGCTTAGTTCAAACGATCATTGCAAACGTTGTGATAGGGATAGAGACATGCGATTTTTCGTTTTACGAAGGTAATATGATAGAGAATAATACAAAGTAATAAAAACTACCGGTTATAGGGGCATTTTTTGGAGAAATTTATGAAATAACCAAAAAAACACGAATTTTTAAGCGGATTTTTTTCAAAAAGTATATTTTTTTATTATTTGTTGGCCTTTTTTGTGTATTTTATGTATTTTTTTAGTATTGCCTGTTATTTAGTATTGTTACTGTTTTTATTGTATCAAGATATACCGCTTAGTTTAAAAGTTATTATGTTTTCTTTACAATAAGTAATTGGAAGAAAAAAAATTATATAAAAAATTAAAAAAAAATCTCAAAAATTTTTTGACCTCTTTTTTGTCGATAAAAATAGGTCTAGTTTCATCTATTTTGATATGTACACTTTAACGTGACTCACACTGTATATAAAAGGAGAAACTGACTGACTGACTGACAGATCAACGCACAGCCTAAACGGCTAAACGTAGGCACTTGAAATTTGGAAGGGACGTAACTTAGGTACCGTAGAGGTGCACTAAGAAAGGAATTTCCGAAATTCCCACGGGAACGGGAATTAGCGGGAAAAACGGGATTCACGCGTACGAAGTCGCGGGCGGCCGCTAGTTTATTATAATATTGTAAATGCGAAAGTAACTGTCTGTCTTGCTTTCACGCCTAAAACACTGAACCGATTTTGATGAAATTTGGCATAGAGATAGTTTGAGTCCCGGGAAAGGACAAAGGATAGTTTTTATCCCGGTTTTTGAAACAGGGACGCGCGCGATAAAGTTTTTCTGTGATAGACAAGATTCCGCCGTGGGCGGAAAGCTAGTATAGATATAAATTGAAGGAAACGTTTATCGTCTCGCTCGTATTCGTCTGGGTACTGCCAGTCCCAGTAGTTTAATCCTTCAAGCTGCTTCCCGTGAATCTAGACACAATAGATAATCAATTGTTATGACATTAATGCCGTCTGGGACTCAATCGGTTAAGGTATTTTCAGTTAGAATAATGCAATTCAATAAAACTAACGTCGATAAATATGACCAAAACTACTCTAGGAGTACTCGGAGATCTCTGTCTACCCCCTAGTAGATCCTTAAAGAAAAAGGTCCAGACATTTATTTGACACACACACAATATATTCGAAAGCACTAAGCTATGTTAACAGTAGAACAATTCAAATTCCTATAGGTACTTTACCCTGTTGGTTTACTGTACGAAAAGATTGTCTACCTGTGATTGTCTCTACATTTTAGATGCCTTCAACGAAATAAAGAAAAGAGCCATCGTACAACTAAAGTAAGTATTGCTATGGTACGCGAATCAGGCGTTGAAATATGGTAGAAAGTAGAGATCACGCTGGTAGAGCTTTTCTATTGCATTTTATTTAAACATAACTCTTTTTTTAAACTTAGATAAAATGAGATTATTTTGAGCATCTACAGTAAAAATTAGATTGACTTTATCCTGTATCCTTACAATGATGGTACTTTACTGCTATATTTCAGGAAATGAAATACCTAACTAACTAGGTATAAATGTAATAAATATACAACTAGGTGATTATTTATAAAAACCACATAAGAAACAAATATGTTCAACCATTACACCGCGAAAAGGGTTCAAAAAGGTGGAACGCAGGTAGCATGAATGTGAGCCAAACCGCTTCACATTTGTGATGTAAGGCGGAAGTTAATAGGGATCTCTATTCTCGATGACAAAGCGTGCTGTCAAAAGAATGAGATCTATTTGCAAGTGTGCGCGTGCGCAAGGCAGTGTAGCTGTGTAGAGCCGAAGTTACGTCGCGTCTGTGTGCGAGCGGCTTGTACAGGTGAGAGAGCGCGTCGGAGCGGGACGTGCGACCGCGGCGCCTTCGCACAGGTAGAGCCGCAAACCCCGCGCCAGTCTGAGACACGCGCCCCGCGCGCGCCCGCGTCTGACCGCGATAACCTCCTCGAAACCAAACAAAACAATACAACTAACAACGCAATCCACGCCAAGGAATAAACACATCAACACAAACAAGTGACCCAAAGGTGAATTACGAAATTGACAATCACGACGGATAATTGCGCGAATGCCACGGTTCACAACCTACGCAGCCGGCGTCCCCCACCTCCGTTCATTCAAGGACCAATCGTTGAACTCATGCTGCCTCGGCTTTCGCGTCTATGCTTATTCGCTTTAGAAATAAACTTCGAAATGATGTTGCGACGGACCGACTGAGCTGATGACTGTCCGCGAAACTGTTTCAACGACAATGTCAATCAATCAGAACGCGGGCCAGTTTAATAAACCAAAACAACAACTAGGTAAACAGGGCTCTACGGAACCGGTCAACTTTCCACCTCGTTATCATCCGCCTCCGCCAGCCGCTAGTGGCCCCAAACTAGCCACTGTCGACTCAGCCGCCAAGGAGTTTAAACCTCCTTATACAGGAAAACCTATCGATCCAAATAAATACCCATATCCAGTTGGGGTGCACGGACCTATCGCTGGACCTTACCCGAGCGGATCGATACCCTTCGTGAAATATCCCCAGGGATATCCTCAAGGATACCCTCTGCCACCGGGAGCACTACGAGTGATCCGCCCTCCAGCGGAAGTCATAACGAAAGCTATCGTCCACGAACCCGTAGAACCGACTGCAAGAGCGAGAAGTGCTGACGATACCCAACGCGCGCAACGAAACTTAGAAGAAGAACAAATACATCGAAGATCAGCTGACATGCTTAAATTTACAAAACGCGTAGAAAATGATGCGCCACGAAATTCGACGGATCAGAGAAGACATATTCAAACACTTTTGGATGAAATAAAAGCTTTAAAAGAAGCCAATCGTCGCTTGAGTGATGATAATCAGGAGTTACGTGATTTGTGCTGTTTCTTGGACGATGATCGGCAGAAAGGGCGTAAACTGGCAAGAGAATGGCAGCGATTTGGAAGGTACACGGCGTCAGTGATGCGTCAAGAAGTCTCGGCGTATCAGAGCAAGCTGAGAGAATTGGATGATAAGCAACAAGAATTGATTCGCGATAATTTGGAACTGAAAGAGTTGTGTTTATACTTGGATGAAGAACGCGAACGAACTGCTTGTACTAACTGTGGTAGAACACCAGGCCGTGAACGAGATGATGGAGATGGCAGCAGCAGTGGCACGAATGTTGAGGAAGGACCTAGAGCAGCACCAACAGTGCCTATTACGCATCCTCAACTTGCAGAGCGAACGGTTCAGTACGTTAGAGATTTAGAACAGAAAGTAAGACGGTTGGAGGCTGAGAAAGGGGTAGGAAGTGGAATGAATGAACGTCCTGAGGCAGTGGTCAGAGCTTTGCAAGTATTAGAAGTTAGAGAACGCGTGGAAAGAGAGCGAAGGCGACCAGCGCCAGACCTTGACTCGGGTGAGCAAGCTTTGGTTCGAGAGATGTGTAATGTGGTGTGGGGTAAACTAGAAGATGCACCTCCACAGGCTCCACCACGTTAAAACTTTCCAACGAAATTATTTGTGATAAGTAATAACATTGCGTTGTTGTCAGCAAGAGTAAAAAGTACAAGTAAACAATAACCTACATAAGTGTTGATCAGTGTTGTTGGTTGTGATTGGAATGCGACTTGATCGAGGTCATAGCGTCAAGTCTCGTGACCTAAAGAGCGGAATTAAGTGCTTGACCTTGTTTATCAAACGAACATAACTGAACTTTTGCTAGTTGGTAGTGAAACCTGAAGAAATATGTGTGATGCTTACTTGCCAGCGAAATGCTATGTCCCCTTGTCAAATAACAGAAGAAGAAACCGAAAAGTACAAAATAGAAGTATAATTACTTTTAGAAGTAGCTAGTTATGAATTTTCGATATAAATTGCATTTAGAGTTTCATATTTCTTCTGAATAGTATTTATTTTAAGATGCCTGTTGCCTTCTTTTTTTATTAATATTTTATGGATAATCTATTGTTTAACGAGGCTATAAAATATTACTGTGTGTTGTCTGTGATTGGCCGAATTATTTTTAAGCTGGTTAATTGTCGTATGAAAATCTTTACCCCTAATGTTCAATTCAAAGAACTTCAATATTTATTAATGGCCCTTCTAGTCAGTGTGTGCTTTCATCTTGCCGATATCCAATATTCTCTCCTGTTGTCTAAACTTTATTTCCCAGCTTTGCTTTGTCTCCAACCTGTGTTTAAGTATGCCTATTAATTTATTGCAAACGAATTTGTGAGAATTAAATAAATTATTCCTGTTTAAATATTGTTTTTATTATACTCTAGTTTTACTTAAATGAATCTTTATCTGCCGTTTAACACTTTGAAGTTAGCGTAAAACCAAGTTAGTTATTTATTAGAAATTAAACTATGTAAAAAATTAAATTGATATTGAACTGAATTAAAATGTAATGCAAACTTCTTTTATAAAAAATCGAGCAATGTTTTTGTCTATATCCTGCAGTTTATTTATGACATTTAATGTCACTAGTCATCGTGCATGTTTATAGATGACCCACGCTGAACTGTCCCACCAAACTCAATGACAGGGGGGCGCTACCATCGTTCAACTATATGGTTTCCAACATGGCAAAAATCGGAACCAGCGATCCGATATTGACGGTGGCGCCCCACTGTCAATGTCATCGATAGGACAGTTCAGTATTTTGGAACTATATAAAAATTTTGACAAATAAAAATATTGAAACTCCGTTATGGCTGAAGAAAAAGGAGAACCAGGAGAGGATGAAGATACAATTGGAGTAACTATATTTCCTACCCAATTCACTTTTACAAACACAAGTGAAACGAGTCTTAGAACAACATTTATTAGCGCTAACATGGCGCTATTTAAAATTTTGAGCCTGATAAAAAATTTATAGCAAACTCAAGCGTTTATAAAATATTGCTTTTTAGATTTACGTAGGCGGTCGAAACAACGAAGGCGAGAGACACGGCGAGGGCTGGGCTGTGCTTCCCAATGGCGATTTTTATCAAGGTTGCTATTGTCGTGGTCTTAGAAATGGAAAAGGTTTATACGTGTTTAAAAATGGAGCACGCTATGAAGGTATTTGAATAATTACCATACATAGTATCTCCTAAATCCTTTCTTCCTACTTAGATAGGATGTCTTTTTCATAATTTATAGGAGAATGGAGACGCGCCATGAAATATGGTGTTGGAACCATGTTGTATCCAGACGGTTCTCGATATGAAGGCGACTGGCGCCACGATCTGAAGCAGGGTTTCGGCGCTTATTACTACCCAAACGGCGACATCTACGAGGGAGCCTGGTTCAAAGGCAGACGCCATGGATTAGGAACGTACTTCTACGCAGAGTACCAGATCAAGTTCATGGGGACGTGGGTAGAGGGTATTATTCAAGGGCCAGGGCAAATCATTTACCCTCGAGTTCGCTATCACGGCTCATGGCTGAAGGGTGTTCCAAAGGGGCCTGGGTGTTTTGTCTTCGATACGAATTGCATGCAGCACGGATTCTACTTGTTGATAAAAGATCCAGCTTTAGAAGAATTTGGGGAAGGCGAGGAGGAGAAAGAAGAAAAAGAGATTAAGGAGGAAAGAGCGGAGGAAGAAGAAGAGGCAGAATTTGATGAGACTTTGGGTAAGTTATTTGGCGCACGATTCTCGCTCACTAAAACCAACTCGCACAGTTTGTAGTAAGTAAAACATAGGCGTCACAGCTCTCGACTCGTCGCGTCTGTGGACAGATCCAAAAGCTCCTGAAAGGATGCTTGGCAACTTGTGCATCAAAAGGAACTCACAGGTTGATACAGACGTTACGTGTTATTAACTTGATAATATCAATCATGATTTCCACAATGACCGGTTGGTGGCGGCCTGCATCCAGCGTCTTCCTGCTACCTTTATGAGGTCGTCTGTCCACCTTGGGGGTGGAAATAACTGGTATCCAAGAATAAACGGTTCTCTTTTCAAAATGACGAAATTAAGTTTCTACAACATGTATTTTTAACTCACCCAGGCAAGGTAGCAGTATGGCGCGCGCGCAACGTCACGGCATACATGGCGGAGTTCCTCCCGCCTGAGCCCGTTCCGTTGCCAGTTCACGATTCAGTGCCTTCCCTAACGGACGAGAGCATCGAGACAGACATTATCCGCTTTGACCTGCCCTCCGTCACTGGCGAAGAGGAGGGCGGAGACGACAACGATTCTTGGCTCATGCACAGACAGAAGTTCCTTGAGGAGACCGAGCAGAAGGAATAGTGCTCTCGCAATAAATGTGGTTGATTTCACTTGGTCGTTTCAATTCTGTAGGTTTTTTATACAATAGACTGAAGAATACACTAACTTATCATTGTAGGTACTAAAAAATAATATGAAAAGAAAAATACATTATTAAATAATTTTTTTCTCATACAATAAGAGCAGTAGTAAGAGACGAATCTTATGAAAATGGCTGCTGAAATAAAAGCATAGAAATTTGAATTTTCCAAAAATTCAGAGTTTATTGAGCGACTTACATAAAACCAAATGGATTTTTACATATTATTATTAAAATAAGTTCTTCTACATTGTAACTCAAAACTTGAGAGTCATTATTTGAAGAATAGGAAAATGTAAAATGTAACTAAGTATGCTGTCTTTCATCAGCTTTGTAAAACATTTAAATATTTCATAACACTGTATTACACAATATCAACATGACACACATATAAGGCTCGATTATTATCAGTAATTATGAGTAAGAATATACATACGTCATACAATATTCTAATATACAAAAGATATATTTATAAAGATACATATTACAGTACAATTTATGTTTCTTATTGTGAAACTTCATTTTTATTTGTTTTGGAGTCATGTTGAGAGTTTGGTAAGTAATTTGCAATTTTAGAGAAACATTTGGTATTCTTCCGATCGACAGAAGTGAGATCTATTGAATTTGCTAATGTTTATAATTGGCAGCACAACTTCAAAACACAGTTGTGTTAAGTAAAGCTATATCTTACAAAGTATGGTTTACTTTGTGCTATAAAACTAGATAACTAGCATTATTATTAAATTATGTAAAACTAGCTATGAAGAAGTGGTTATGTTTGAGGATTTTGCGGAGGATTGTTATTGGGACCCGCATTGTTGTTTTCAAATGTAGTTTTGTTTTTTAATAAATATGCAGCTAGGTAGTTGATTGGGTCCGGAGGCCGTTCTTTGGCGAGAGCTGACAGTCCTTGTAGAAGAATCGGGACCACAGTCTGGTCTAGATATTGACGCGTCGGCAGTGCATTGAGATCAATCCTGGATTTGCGACTAGCATTGGTATCATTTTCCTTTTCCATTGATATTATTTTCTGTAAATCAAAACATTTTTTCCGATCAGTTTACTTTGTTTATGATTATTCATATAGCGTTTTGTATTTGTTTAACCTAACGTGACCAAGTCAAGATTTAGGGTGAAAACTTTCGAGTTATTTTGGGTTAAGTTTGTCCATTTATATTTTAATTCTATTGGAAGTTTATAATTGCAAAAACTGCATAAAATAAAAGGAACTAACCTTAACAGATTCAGGTATTTTGGACGGCGGTTGCTCTTCCTTGAGAGTTGCTTGCAATGAGGTTTCGGACATGGGTTGCAGCTATGTCGTAAACATAAACTGTTATTACTGCATGTACGACTTTATTACTTATTAAATACACCAATTCTGTCTTTCCCTGAGGCAAATTGGCTTGGCAACAAACTCAAAACTTGAGACGAGCCACCACCAAACACAAAAACGATTGAAATTGACATTGACATTTTACTTTGTTTGGGAAATAAGAATGTTGCCATGCTTTGAACGCTGTTCTACTATGACATTATTAGAAATATAATTTTCCTTACCAGTTCTTAGGCTTTAAAAACAAAATATTATTATATTCTGTTATTTATTAAGGTAATAAAAATTTACTCAATCGTTATTCCAAATTCAGTGTTTCTTGCTTGACTTTACATAAAAATACGATAGGTCTTAAGATACATCATTAAACACATTTTAGGGGTAAATTATTTGTTATGTTAACACTAATTTAACTTTTTTTCATTGAATGAAGCAAAGAATATCGAATAAACAGCTTTATACATTTTTATCGACTTTGCGCTCCGCTCTGGTATGATGACCATGGCCACCTAGCATCAGCTAAGTTAAATGTGGTTAAAGGTTTGGTTGAGATCCATACTCAGTGAATTTATTTACTTACAACTTTTATTTCATTTTAGTATAAGTTCACAACGGATCTATAGATGCCTACCAAATCTAGTTCAAGTACTTTCTGTTCTTGAGTAGGTGGTACCTACCTACAGCGGCTACAGCCAGCCAACCCACTGATAGACAGAGGGACAGTTAGAAGTAGGTGTATTGTTGGCGCCCTTTGGGTATGAAACCTAAAATACGTATGTACCTACTCGTAATCGTAATAGGATCGAGGATCAAGGAACTCAAACAACGTGTGATATGTTATGATTTAATTTAAAAACTTAACTCTTAGGTACAATTTTATTTACAAAACGCAAGCTACCTATTACTCGTATAGTATCTACTTATTCTTACACAGTTGATAAATAGGTCATCATCATCATCATCATCATCATCATCATTTCAGCCACAGGACGTCCACTGCTGAACATAGGCCTCCCCCAATGCTTTCCATGTTGACGCATGGACGCAGGCCGCTACCAATCGATAAGTAGGTACTAAGATGTTAATGTTATGCGAGTTCAAGTAGAGTAGAAATAATGCACACACAATTTCAAATAATACACAATGTCAGTGCCCATGACATGAAGTTATTGTAAATAACATGAAACATGGCATGTACAAGTACGTACATCCAAGATTCAAATAATTTATCGCTTAAAATATTGGCTTCGTTCAATATTAACATTGTGCTGAAATTGTCAGGTCATCACTCAGACAGTAGCGGCGTAAGGGGGGCGGTCCGCCCCGGGTGCCAAGCATCAGGGGGTGACACAAGTCGCGCAGATTAGTACTCACTGGCGCATCTGCATGGCAAATCTGCGGTGTATGTCATGATACGGCTGCTGCTGTTTTGGCTGCTGACATGGCCAGAACTTTTTTTTTCACTCAGGATATCTCTAATCTCGTAGTCTGAGAAAGGCTTGTTAAGTGATTCAAGTTGCTTGTTAAACTCAGGCAATATTGCTCTGAGCCGACTTAGCTCTTCTCAGCTTCTGGTTGCAGACCAAGAGCTAAGTTAAAACTTAGCTTCCCATAGTCATGTGCAGATTGCAAACTTTTTGTCGGCCGATAGTTTAGTCGGGTGGTTAATCAGTAAGGGCATGTATGGAAGTGCGCACATTACACCGATTGATTCTTCATACAAATTAGAATCGCGCCCAACTATCGGCCGACTAAAAATCGGTGGTCTGCGCCTAGGCTCAGTTCGCAATTTTGTTAAAAAAGATCTTGGTCTGCAACCTATAACTCAAGAAAGGTGTACAATTGAAACAAGTGTTACTTAATCTATTTAATATATTTATTAGGTTCTTAAGTAGTGCGGCGGGGGCGGCGGCGGCGGCGCGGGCCGCAGCCGGGGCGTGCGCTCGAGCTGACGCCGCCACGACGCCATGGCCTCGCTCAGCGACCACAGCTCCGAGAGCAGGGACAGGTCCAGCTGCCGGAGCGACGCCTGGAATGGAGAGAATAACGGTATTAGCAACTGGATACTACCACTTGACTGAAGGGACTTTTAAAGGCTTTAAGGTTCAGCCTACAAGGTAGGACCGACGACATCGTAAAGGTAGCAGGGAAGCGCTGGACGCAGGCCGTTACCAATCGATCAACATGGAAAGCATTGGGGGAGGCCTATGTTCAGCAGTGGACGACCTATGGCTGATGATGATGATGATTAAGGTGAACCTTAATCATCATCATCATCATTTCAGCCAACCAACGCGATCACGCAATATCAGCCGGCGTGCAGCGATGGCGATCAGACTTAAATGAATTAATCACCAACGCTGCACCTTTAGTCCAGCAGTAGACGGCATTTGGTAGAGACAACGACATCAAAAAGATGACGGGAAGGAGGGTACCTAAGTATGTTCTAGGGGAAAGATGTACATTCAGTTAGGGCTTACGAAACTATCTCACATGACAGAATTTCGTGAATTTTAATTTTCTAAAATTCTATTCAGATTTCTGAAACTGGATTGTTTCCAGCGTCACAAGATTCGTAGTAGCAATAAACTAAAGAGCTCTACCAATCAAGTAAATGATTAAGCTCTTAATATTCAAAAAGGTTTTTCTGAAGGTTTGTATGCGATTTTCATTTCATTCATTATCAAAATATGTTGAACAAAGTCTCATATTTAAAACAACCAAATCAGAAAGCGAGTCCACAATTCATCGTTGTCCATTGAATAAACGACCGTGCTGCCAGCATCTTGGACGTCGTAAGATCGATGCGTTCGTGAGTGAAATTGGAACTTAAATAAATGATTGGGAATCGAAAATCGACAATATCTGCAATTACCGTGAAAACGAACAAAACCATAACACTCTTGCGTCAGACGCCCAAGGCTTTATAGATTTTGAGTTTATTTCAACAATTTTTTAGCGTTCATTTATATCCCAAAACTTGCAATAGTTTTCTTACAGGAATGACAATATTGACGATGGACGCCCCTACCTAGCCTTGATCAGACAATGCATGTCGCCTTTAAAATCAGTTTTGTCTTTAGTATCATATCCTAAGCGCATTTCATGCATGATGCAACGTCAGTGGATTACCTCGCACTTGCCAATACATGCAAAAGGCATGATCGGGAACACTATTCGAATCACAATGCTCTTGCGACCTTCGCGCCGCGTGGAATGCGGTGCGATCACGACATGAGCTGCACAAATAGATAAATGCTTTGATAGTCCAGTTACACACTATGAAATTGATAGATATTTTAAACTAGGGCAAACCAGCAGAAGGGACTTTAAATCTAGAAGGTACATTCTAAACTAAGAAGAATCAGTAGAAGGGAGAACATGAGATCTCAGCTGGTATGGTATTTGTACCAGAGAATAAAAGTGAAAAACTAACTAAGTATATTAAAATTTGTCCCGTAACGAAAACTGCCAATAGAAAATCCCACGAGTGTAATGTTAAATCTAATCTACGTAAGCATCTCAGTTGCCCGCAGTGATAATGGAAGCGAAATAGATTAAATCAAGTTTCTTCACAGTAAAAATGAGAATTCTGAGAACTCGGCACACAAGACACCCATCGCTGATGCAGCCTATAACGGTAACGCCATAGAGTAAAATCTAAATCAAATAACCTAGAGAGCCAGTGAGCAACTGGTCTGGGTTCCGGGATATGCTCTATATCATACACCGTTATTTTCGCGAGAAGATCACTCTTGGGTGGTAGGAATTTTAAATTAACAGTTTTATGGCTCTATTTAGCATTTAGTACGAATACAATCTGTACAATCAATATCTACGTTGGTTTTAGTTATTTCAATGGCAGATTTCCTAAGCTGGCCAAAGTGAACATCCAGTAAAAAATCGTCATTGAAATCGAAAAAGGACATTAAAAAGAAAGACAGAATTTGCTGTTATAAAACATTTATTCGGTTCTTCAGTAGGCTCTCGATCAGATAGAGAACTCGCTGAGAAATATGCGAGTATGTGGAGCAAAAAAGAAATGAATCACTTTTAAGATGACAGCATACAGTCACGCGTGTTACAATTGCGTTTTGTTCGATTAGAATGTGCAGGAAAAGAGGGAAAGTGGTCGAGACCATGCTTCGCCGGAGACGTAATGAACGAGTGTGATCCGACAATTAACAATATCGCATCACGAACCAGAATGCCGGGGAGATGTGAAACGGAGTAAACGATGTAAATATAACTTGACATGATTTACAGTCTAACAAATCACATTTATTTTAAAAAGTTTAAATTGTCGCGTAATAACATGTAACTAGCACGTTTTACGTATTCTTGACTAGAGATAGAGACTGTAACGATGAATTCGACCAATCTGTATAATTTTAAAATACATATTCATTAAATCATCAATGCAACGTTTAAATAATAAATAAAGGTGATTTTAGATCATTAGGCACTGTCTAACTGCCGAAAGGTGTTTTTTATGGATAAAAAACTGTCGACTTTGCCTACCTAGATAAGAAACTAATGGGTTTACTAATAGATCATCAAAATCTGAGGCTATCACTGAAATCGTTAAATAGAAAGACTTCAGCCGTGCCTCAATGAATGAAATTGGTAACAGATAAAACAATTGTTGCGTATCAAATATGACATGATGTTACAGCCCCAAATGAGTGTATTGAACAGCTCATGTGGACAAATGCACGAACACATTTCATAGACTAAATTGAGTGTGGAGAATGTGCCGATGACCGACCAACGAATAGGGTTGACAATATGCAGCAAAATTTAATACTGTCCATCGAATTACATGACGAAACCCCTATCCAGCAGTCAACTTGATAGGCTCGTAACACTCATACAGGTAATTTGGTTTGGTCACTCCCCGAACTTTTGCAAATTTCATTATTGAGACACCAATTTCCTAAATAAACCTGATTGATATTTATTCATTTATTAATACAAAACATTTGTAAGCTTACAGATCAGGTCCAAAACGCTTACAAGCTTCTTATGTTGATAGTTTCGCTACATTCCTAAATTGACTAAAAAATCTGTAGGCAATGTTACATAGAGGCCTTAGTTTGAAACTGTTCACGACCTATAAACTACACTAAACTAGCTTTTACTGTGAGTAGGTATATCAGTAACCCTACATCTCTACGAAATTGATTATTGTCCTTCGCTATTGTGTGTGTCGCAATCACAAGCGTGTGGTGACCGCCGCGGGCAATCTCGGCCACTTTGCATGCCCGTGCTGCGCCTGCTCACAATGGAATGCAATTTCGAGTGAAGGAAAGCCGGTAGTTTGTGCAATATGTTTCTAGTTGCTCCGCAAAATTGATATTTACATGCCATGTTATTGTAACACAATTGAAATTTATTCCATGCCCCATATTTCTTTTCGGCGTAAATAAAGTCAACTTTTGAAATGTTTTCTGTTAAAAATGTCTGCGTGCAAACAGTTCAGCAATGCCAAATGGTTTCATGTCGGTTAGATTAAATAAACAGCACGGAGGCCAGCAAATCATGCCAAGGAAACCGTTTCAAGAAAAACATCATACTTCGATGAAATTGATTTAGTTTTTATAGATTGTGTAAATAAACAAAGAGCTATAATGGGAAAAATTATTATAAATAATTAGGAGCCTTGTCAGGAAATGAGATTTCTTCATAGCTTTTACAGCTAATAAAATGACTACACGTCCGTGCTAAGACGTCATTAAATGAAATTGCACCATACGAGCGCAGAGCATGCCGACGACGATTCCTATCCTATCAGTCAACATGAGCCCTCTTTGCTGGCCACTAATATCCTCGAGGGGTGGCAAATGGTTTCATAATTGAATTAGAGCTGCCCACACCCTCAAACGTAAATGTACATTGAACTTTTTCAAATGCATTAACTGAGGTTGCGCGACTTCAACGGAGTGTTTTGATAACGGTATTCTACGGAAATGAAATAGACAGAGACATTCTAATCATTCTGTTTATTTGAAGAATCAAAAGTTGTTTTAAGTTGATTAAGTGTGCGTGAAAGCTATCAAGCTGGAGGCGTTTGTCTTAACAGAGACATCAAAGAAAGAGTCATTCGTGGTTGCAAGTCAAGATGTTAAGATGTTCAACTGGTGCTTTGGCAAGTGAGTAGTTTCTGGGAACGCGGGCCAGCTGTAACATCAACAAAACGGGCCGGTGTTGGTCCAACTAGTTCAAAGGAAACTCCTATTAGTGCATCTACGTCCGCTCTATTGTGTGGCGATCGTTCTAAAGTTGGATCACTGTTTGTTAACGTCCAACCACACCACTTGTTTGAATCCGGCAGCTATTTTGTTACGAGTTTTCCTTTCGACAGTTGAAATAGCACTAACTTTGTTAAATGCGTTAACTAAACTTGGAATGACTGGACGTTGAGCTACCGTATTTGCTATATGTTTATAAAAACGCCGAAAGAGTTTAGGTAAAGCAAAATCGTTTTTGTTGTCACCAATCTGTAAGAATTTTAAAATGAGAGGTTGCGAAATTGGTATTGCACGCCGATTTTTGTTCCCATCATGACAAGGCAATTCGGTTTATATCATCGGCCATTATCATCGCACCGGTACCAAGTACAGTTGGAGAAAGTGTCTCGAGCCACGAGATTGATCTCGTAATCGTAACCTAATCGCGTGGTAAGGGCTTCCATGGCCAGGAGCAACGAATAGCGCGCTCACTCGCGGCAGAACTTTCCTTCCTTTGTTGTTACAGCGAACCACTCTTAGAACAAACGCCCCGTTGTTTATCATTGTAAACGTAGAATTTTCTAAATCAATACCGAAAAATTATACCAAACCAAATATGGGCAAGAAACGTCTTGCGGCTATGAAATATGACGGTGGTTATCTTAACGACATCTGAGAGGCTTTTGTATTGTAGAACGGCTCTATTACTAGTCTCTAGTCAATTTCTCTTCGTTGGCGTGTACTTAGTAGGTACTTGCATGAAGGTATAGAAGGTTCGACGCCGGCGCCTGCGCCCACG